GTTATAAACATGCATTTCAAGTTTCATCAAAATCAGATCAAAATTGTGACCTCTAGAGGGTCCACAACTTTGATATTCCAGATGTTTACACTAATTGTGTACGAGGGGCATCCATTTTCTCCGGCAGTTTTGGTCTGATTTCACGAAATTCAAACTCAACCAAAATTACGGTGCAACAGTGATATATTTGAACGTTTTTTTAAATTGGATAATAATTGTGACATCTAGAGGAACCTCAAGCTAAAAACGCGATTTTTAGTACAATCAGGGGCCATAATTCAAGAAGTTACAATCCGATATGTGCGAATATCGAAAGGAACCATGAAGTTGTGGACTTCCAGATGGACATGGTCGACGACAATATACGTCCACATGAAAATGTGGGCGTATAAAAATTGTGACCTCTATAGGGTCCACAAGCTAAAATCATGATTTTTCGTACAATCAGGGGCCATAATCCATGAAGTTATGGTCTGATACATGCTAATATCGAAAGGAACCTAGATCTTTGCGAGATAGACCTATATTTCAATTTTGCGTCAAAATCAGATAAAAATTGTGACCTGTAGAGTGTCCACAAACAAATTTTGGACGGAAGGATAACCGGAGGGACAGGGGCGACGACAATATATGTTCACATGAAAATGTGGGCGTATAAAAAGGAACCATACGTTGGACCCCAAAATGACCTACTTTGTGTCGAGTGGACATTAATGTTCAGCTCATGTTACTTAATCAGATTACAGATATTATCAAAGAGCATTTTTAAGGATGGTTAGTTGAAACCATGTTTAAAAGATTATGTTATGAGTGAATTGTTATTTTTGTCGAATGATTAATATACTAATAGTCAGTTGTTATGTAGATGCTGCCTTCTCACTCTCTAGTTTTGCTTTCTTTCTCACATCTTTTAACAGCTTTTACGTCGTAAGAGCCTTGTTCTGTCCTTAAAACATCTATAACACGTTGGGTGAAATCCAAAACCACTGTCCACTGTATCTTCAATATAATATCCTTCGTAATCAATCAATTTGTATCGAAAAATGCTGCAATGGACTGGTCATTTCCATCCAATTGTAACCAGTCTATAGCTACCTCACGACATTTGTCCCACCTTGTCTTTGTAAAGGGTTCTTAACACTGTGTAAGTGAACAATAGCCTTTGTGGCCATTTCGTGTAGATTCTATGACTGAAATGTGTTCCTCGTGGAGCACGCCATTTTGTAATTACCAACAACACACGCGAATGTAGACAATAACATGATTGGTCAATTGTGGAAAAAATGATCACGTGACGCAGTAAAAAAGTTTAAATTCTGTCCAGTGACTTTGCGCACTATGAATTTTACTATTAATAAATAAACCCGGATTTTAAAGAAGAATATCATCGGAGAACTAGTAAATTTTTTGTTAAACATTACAGCAAACACTTATCACTATATTAACTGAACACTGATAACATTTTTTCTAGACCGGATTTGTAGGAACGAAAATATTTTTCCAAAGAGAATTTGTGCCCATGGAATGCGGCCTACAAGGGTCAGACTCAAGAAGTTATCAACGGAAATTGCTGACTACTCCGTTTTACTTATCTAAATATAGATTTCATTTTGTCATTGAGCGTTCAAATGGTTCTACAAAGTGAAACAGGGACATAATTCTAGAGGTTAGGCCTCTTCGTTTTACTGATTTAAAGATACATTATGGGAGATTAGATAAAGAGCTGGAAGTTCTCACTAGAACAGTTAAGATAGGTTGCCAGGCAACGAAACATACGTCCACAGCAGCTAAATCGCCCAAGCGGTCGACAAGGGTTGCTGCATATTTATTCTTTTGTAGGTAATTTGGGGCATTTACAAGACAATTTCATACAGATCAGATTATAATTTTTGTCGTTTGAGGGTTCACAAGGTTCTACAAACTGAACCAAGGGTCTTAACTCTGGAAGTAATTTATAGAAAATTTTGAAATTTGACAGGCTTTTTCGTTTTATTAATTTAAATAATGCATATAAATTTCATACAGATTGGATGATAACTTTTGTCATTCGAATGTTCACAAGGTTCTCAAAGTAAAACAAGGGTCATAACTCTAGAAATAATTAACGGAAATTGCTGAAATTCAATATACCTCCATTTCACAAATTTGAATAATGCATATAAATTTCATACATATCGGATGATAACTTTCATCAATCGACCATTAACAAGATTCAATAAAGTGAAACAAGGGCCATAACTCTAGACGTAATAAACGGAAATTGCTGAAATGCAATAGGCTTCTTCGTTTCACTAATTTAAATAATGCATATAAATTTCACAAAGATCAGATAACTTTTGCCGTTAGAACATTCACAAGGTCCAACAAAGTGAAACCAGAGGCAAAAACTCTAGACGTAATAAACGGAAATTATTGAAATTAAAGAGGCTTCTTCATCTCACTAATGTGAACAACATATATCAATTTCAAAACAATCAGATTATAACTTTTGACATTAGAGCGTTCACAAGACGGCAATATATGTCCACATTTCCATGTGGGCGTATAAAAACTAGATAATGTAAAGGGAATTTATTGAAAATTCGAGTCAAATTGATCCACTCTGAATCGAGAATTTAGCAATTGAATTTTCGGCCTAGCCTCGATCATCATTACTAAAGTCGGTACGATAAAAAACATAGTCTTGATTATCCATTTCATGATTAAATCATGAATGAAACTTGAGCAGCAAATCGGATCCTAATCCAGTAAATATCGCAGGCTAGCAATGACATCGAGAGTTGATTATGGTCTGGATAAGTTAATTAATGTCTAATTAACAATTTAGAAAACATTTCAGGCCTAAAGAAAGACTAGTTCAGCTCTGAACGTAGGTATCATTACACTCGCCCTGTACTTTCAGGAACTCTCCTGTTCAATCCTTGTCGACATTCCAATGGCTTCCCAGTCAATTTTACTGGGCAACTTTTTACTGCTAAACGGTCGCGTGTCAGTCCATGTAAACGCCTGAACAATATAAATGAACATCTTAGTGAGAAAATAAGACCTTGCCTACCTCGCTAAAACCAGTATGAGCCACACAACACGCTGTTAAAAAATATGTCTCCGTCTTCTAGCCGACTTGGCGGACTTCATTGAAAGGGTAACGCACAAATTTACGAACTCGGCCATATAAGATGAAACGAAATTTAGGTAAGCCTGGGGGAAAAAATGAGACCTACATTCAGAGCTGAACTAAAGAAAGACCTGCAATAGGCATATTTAGCTCTTGCATAATCATAATGTATGTTTAAATAATGAACATAAATTTCATATAGATTGGGTTATGGGTAATAACTTCTTTAAAATGAAATGAAATGGGGTTTAATGTCCTACTGTTCTGCATAAGCCATACAGTGTGCTATGAGGGAAAAGTTTGCCCGGACAGCGGTACTACGGCCTACTCTTAATTATATCGAATTCCAACTGTCAAGGGATCTTTTACGTGCACGCCAGTGTGTACAATGGACCTCGGTTTTTAATCCCATCCAATTCAAATTTTAGTTACTTTAGTACGGTAACCGATTCTTATCAGCTCTGTCCAGAGCCAATCAGCATCTATTAGGTACGGTACCGTACTAAAGTAACTAGTTCAATTTAAAGGAGCTAAATCGCTAATATTTGTGACCTAGAAATTGACCCAAATGGGTCGCAACGCATATAATAATGTAATCCGATTGTATATAAATTGATTTACATTCAATTGTTTCCGTTTTGACTCTAATTTCAAATCAGTTATGTACAGCGAAATATGGCATGAGTCTCAACCGAATAACAATTTCTAGCGTCTGGTTATTTTAGTCTATTGCGTATGCTCTCCAGTCGTCACCGTTTGACATGAGGTGTGGAATATGTCTAGCCTCGATCTTTTTGGTCACTTGTTACAAATGACGCTGAAACGCACTATAGTACACAATTCTTGTACCAATGGTAAAATGTTTATTTTGTCTTAAATATTGGATATCAGAAGCCTACCTTTTCCCCGGTAAGATCACAACATCAATGTTGATTTGAATTGACAAATAATTCGTGTTTTCAACGTGTAAGACTTTGGATGATATTGAGCTAGACTTAGCTACTTTAAAGGCTCAATACCACTTTTGTTGTAACTGAATAATATGTCCCAATCTTTATTCTGGTCAACAAATTGTACTATTTTACAATATTTCAATTAATTGATGATACAAATTTCATCTTAACACACCTTATTTAAAAATTTTGAAAAATTCAACATAATGGTTTGAAACGTCTAACGTAAACCTTTTCAAATGAAACTTCAATTTAAAAATATTTTCGAACCCTCTGGACAAGTAAAATAGGATGTAATGGATAATTTACACAACAGGTAGGACACTTAAAGTAGCTAAGTCTCTAACTCAATATCATCCAAAATCCTCAACATTGAAAACACGATTTATTTGTCAAATTAATTCAACATTCATGTTGTGATCTTCCCGGAAAAAGATGGGCTTTTGATATCCAATATTTAAGACAAAATAAACATTTTACCATTGGTACACGAATCGTGTACCATAATGCGCTTCAGCCCCAGTTGTATCAAGAGACTCGAGGGACGAGGCTAGACACATTGCACCAAATCAAACGGCTTATGTAGACTGGAATAACCAGACGCTAGAAATTTGCACTTGCTTGAGACTGCTGGCTTATTTCGCCGAACAAACTGATTTGAAATTGGAGTAAAAATGGAAACCATTGAATGTAAATCAGTTTATATACATTCATATTACAGTATTATATGCGTTGCGACCCACTTTTGTCAATTTCTAGGTCCCAAATGTTAGCGATTTAGCTCCTTTAAACATCTAGTACTTATAGAGATATTATTTATTTTCTGGAGCTTTCAAGCCAGCAAGAGTGTATTGTCCCTAACTATTAGCAACTGAGAAAAGGCTGCCATGGGTAGGTCTGGTCAGTGAAATTGGGACTGGACAAATACTTACCAACTGCCACTGGCTTGTTGAATAATATTATCAACTCTTTTCTGTATTCATCTTGGCAAAATTTCAATGGGATGATGTAAAAACCTTTTTTACAGCTTCACAAACCAAGTTTGGTGATTCAGGGTGTTCTGGAAAGCCGCTCACGGCCAGACAATAATTTTTCACATCAGCTTTTCTTGCAGACATAATGACGAATTCTTTCATAGAAGCTTCCTCATAAACATACTTTCACTTTCATTTTAGAATTTATTCTTTCCGTATACGGAATATTAGTCAGGGTTATAAATAGAAAGGACGTTACTGGCTTTAATTTTCACGTGACCTGTCAATTATAACCCCAAACATGGAAAAACCCATAGCCTCGGTTGTCCACATACCGTAACACACTGATCCGCCGTGAATATTTGCTAGGCCGCTACAATCACTGATAAGGATGACATCGATGCGGCTTAATGAGCCAGTAATATTAACTTTTTTCCTGCGACAAATTAAATTCTAAAACATTTTTTTTATGTATTGGAAAAATAAATAAAGGCGTTTGACGTCTTTGTAGGTAAAAATTATTTCCTATTTAGTGTAAATGGGTATTAAAATGACTAAAATGCAGCATTCTCTCCGAAGCAGTAACGTCTTATGTAAACAATGCACGCGCCATTCAGCCAATGATTGACGCCGCGTGCTGTGACGGCACGTGTTAAGGCAGTCATCTTTGACAGAGATATATTACTAGACTCGTAATTCTCTGTGAAACAGATTGATACCGTAAGTCGTTGGATGCTATATCGTAGCCCTCATTATACGGAAAAGGGGCGGAGCTTATAGATAGATAAGATAAGATAAGATTTTATTGCATCGAAACATCCATTTAGGACAGCATACAATATAAACGTGTACATAAAAATTATAACGATATGACAATTATTACACAAGACACACAATATTGCATCGGAACCTCCCTTGAGGACAACATACAATATACAAAATATACAGGTGCAAAAAAATGGACGGATACAAAAATATGGACGGACATAAATTTAGAGCACTCATAAATAAACAGTATGAAACCTGCATATGGAACAAAATGTACAATGATAGATAGATAATCTTTATTTATAGTCGGTATGTACATATACAGTAGAAACACAAGCTCCTTGGAGCTTTTAGACCGACATAAATATTTCAATTAAAATAAATTCTATATATTTACATTAAAAATATTACAGTAAAACATAACACATTCCTACTTAAACAAACATATTTTAAGTATTGATAAGATATTTTAAAATCTAATAAAATTTTGACAGTTATAACATTACATTTAAAAGTTTCCCTTTATCACAGTCTATTTAAATGGAAATATCACAGTCAATAAATGCTATATTTACATACTTTGGCACAAGTGTATCACCTAATAGACTTATATCTATATGGACAATAAAATACGGTATATAAGCTATTGCTTCGTTTATATGGATATTACAATCTGCTAAATTATGTAAATTATGTGAATAATATACAAAATATACTTAAAATATACGAAGATGGAAGTAAATTTATTTGAAAACCAAGCCTCTCAAGTAAGTTCAAATTGTGAACCAACACCAATTGATGTCAAAATGAGTATTTGACACTTAGTGACTACACAGATAAATGCTGCAGTGTTTATATAGGCCTACAGTATTATTTATTCAACACTCATCTTTTAACATAATGGAAAAACTATTCGAAAGACAGTTTTCCAAAATCTCATCATGGTTTTGTTCTAACTTCTGAAATGGGTGGCAAAAAACTCAAGGTTTATCTATAATTCTATACCCAACAACGGATATGGATATGGTACATATTCAAGCGAGGGGCCTGCATAGCATGGATTACATCTGTTTTTCCAAATCTTTTGGATAAATTCGCAGGAGATGTGAACAGTATTGAGAATACCTCAAAGGAAGATATAGTAGATTTACTTCATGTTAATTCTGAATACAGCCATATAGTACCTACATCTAGAAATGTAATCATACCACCCCCTGTGGAAAATAGTTCACTTGATTTCATTCCTCCAATTTATTCTACACCTTATCAATCACAAAATGTACATGTAACGAACTCTGACCTAGACTGCCTGTTTGAGAATGCAGTTGAAAGAATCCAAGATTAGGTTCACTTCTGCACTAGTTAACCTAGTCACACAGTCTATAATCATTGAATGAGATATGGGAACGAAAGGCAGCTACTAGCAGGGCCCTCACAAGCCTATGTGGCGCTCCAGGGCAAACGGTTCAGTGACGCCCTCCCCCCATCCCCAAGAAGAGCCGTCCCCGGGCGTATGCCCTACTCAGTACCCCACCCCTTGCCAATATATTCGTCTTCGGATATAAAAAATATATTCTCGTAGTAATTCTGTGTGTAAAAATGTCAAGGAATGTGTCATACTATAAGTAATACAACACTTGAAAACCTATAAAACAACTGAAACCATACCCACAACGTTATCAGTACCCTGTCATCATAGGCGTAGGGGCTCGATGACAGTCAGGGGGGCAGAACCCGAAATGCCCGAAAAAATTTCGGGTTTACAGACAGCAGCGACCTTGTATACCCCCCCCCCTCCCCCAAAGACAGTTTTGGAATATTTGACGGCTGCAAACACGTTTTCCTGCTATTGCAGCCGTTGAACAAAGCAACTCCAAAGTGGTCTAATATAGCCTAATTAAGGTGGCTGACTCGGAATTCCAATCAATCGTTTACAGTCCTCGAAGACGGGACCGTTAGGAGTAAATTTTGAAAATTTAACTGCCGCAAACGCGTTTTCCCGATATTTCAGCCAGTGAACAAAGCAACTTCAAGCGGTCTAATATAGCCTAATTAAGGTGGCTGACTCGGAATTCCAATCAATCGTTTACAGTCCTCGAAGACGGGACCGTTAGGAGTAAATTTTGAAAATTTAACTGCCGCAAACGCGTTTTCCCGATATTTCAGCTAGTGAACAAAGCAACTTCAAGCGGTCTAATATAGCATAATTAAGGTGGCTGACTCGAATTCCAATCAATCGTTTACAGTCCTCGAAGACGGGGCCGTTAGGAGAAAATTTTGAAAATTTAACTGTCGCAAACGCGTTTTCCTGCTATTTCAGCCGGTGAACAAAGCAACTTCAAAGTGGTCGAATATATATTATAGCCTTATTAAAGATGGGTTCCCAGAAAAGTATTTATCGGGTGGTAATTTGCGATAAAAGTATGGCAATTTTGGTATGGAAAGTAGAGATATCCAATCTTACTAGAAAAATACTGGATTCCCCAAAAAACACTCATGGAGCGTATACAGGACAAAAATGTAAAGGTTCCCCTAATCAACAGCCCGACGATTATGACCTTCTGCACACACGATGTCAAAGGTCACAAGCGAACATTGAGCGCTTGATGTACAAGTTGATAAACTTTATGAAGAGTTAGACGTACAATACTTTCTGAGATAAAAACGACGGAAAAAGACGCGGGTAGTGGATAATCCGAGAATTTGATTAGGATTCGATATTTGTAATAAATATTAAGCGATTAAAGACAACATCATCTTGTGTATGCAATGATTTCTCCTCTGACTCCCATGCAAGACGTGACGTAAACATGACCTGGTTTGATCGAATTTTAATAGCAGGGCATTCCTTCGCAATTACAATGTTTGAGAAGGATTTGAAGCATAATTATGACAAATTAATTAGTTTGAATATGTTTTTGGCCCATATATACCATTAAATCACCCAGTTTATACACGGGAACCCATCTTTAAGGTGGCTGACTCGAATTCCAATTGGGAGAAAATTTTGAAAATGTAGTGATTTCGTAACTTGACAGGTTTTCAACGTTCAGAGTAGGTTTGGCTCTCCCAAACTCAAACACATTGATGGGTTGCCTAAACTCGACTACCTATATGGATCGCCCAAACTCTTGTATAATCTTGGAGTGCACGTGCTGTTGGCCTATATAAGAGGGTTGATTAGCTGAAGTGGGGTGTGTTTTACTGCAGATTAGAAATGGTCGCCTGTCTGGCAGACCAGTGGATTTTATGGATATCACGGTCGCTTATTTAGCAGACCGGGTGATTTTATATATACTATTCAAAAAAAGTAGGGGATATTTGATTTTGGGTGCATAATACTAAAATATGCAAATGACTACGAAAAAAGTCACTATAGAACCTAACAGAAGAAACATTTCCAGTTACATGTGACGCCCAAACGCACCAATAGCTACCGCATGGAATGCAGGTGATGCTTGGGATCATCATGGGGGTCCAACCCAAGATTTGCACGACTCTGACTTTGAATGTTACAGTCATTGTGGCATTGAATTCCAGGGTGGAAACATCAGTTTAATTGTTTTAGTGACCAGAAAACAAATTTTGATATGCGTCGGCTTACCCAAAATGAAAGGTTACGTGCCCTTGGCATGCTACAGATCGGCACAAGACAGGCGGTTGTGGCGCGGACGATGAATGTTTCTCAGTCTGTCATAAGCAGGCTATGGTCCAGATACCGTGATACACAATCTGTACAGGACAGACCACGCTCAGGTCGACCAAGGGCGACAACTCAAGCCCAGGATCGATTTATCCGTACCTTGGCCTTGAGAAATCGTGTCATCACAGCAAATCAGATCAGCGCTCGTCTTCAAACAGACACTGGTGTGAGAGTGAGTGGCCAGACGATTCGGAATCGACTGCATAGGGGTCACCTTCGCGCCCGACGTCCTCGCGTGATCCCTTGTTTGAGAGATCATCACATTCAGGCAAGACGTCGTTGGTGTAGGGATCGTCAACACTGGGATAATCGACGCTGGAGCAATGTGATGGTTTCAGATGAGTCAAGGTTCACTGTTGATTTTTTGGACAGACGTAGGAGGGTGTGGCGTCGTCGAAACGAGCGCTTCCAAGACGTTAACGTCATCAGACATGATCGATTTGGGGGTGGTTCTGTTATGGTGTGGGGAGGCATCACTGTTGCTGGAAGAACGGCTTTACATGTTGTTGCAGGGCGTGTTACAGGCCAGTACTACCGGGACAACATCTTGGCAGTCCATGTTGTGCCGTTCGCACGACGTCATGGCCGCCGTTTCATCTTCCAGGATGACAACGCAAGATGTCACAGGGCCAGGATCGTTACAGGTTACCTCCAACAACAGAACATCACCACATTACCTTGGCCAGCACTGAGTCCCGACCTCTCCCCCATC